AACAGAAGGGCTGGACAGATGGAGGACAGTGTCTGCTGGGTGATATCCGAGCAGTCCGGTGGCAACCCTGCGAAACTCAAGAAGGGTATGTGCAGGATTCGGCTCGTACGAGATGACTCTGGGCTCACCATCATTGTATACAAGCACAGCAGACCTGACAGGTCCAGGGTACATAGGGCATGGCATAGCCCAGTGGCGTTCAGAGCCCAACAGCTCGTCGAAGGGATAGAGTGGGCCCGGCCAACGGCCGTCTGGCAGGAACGTGAACAGGCCTCCATTTTCAGGGACTATTTCTCTGTCTGCTGGTAGAGGTCGATCGGCAAGGAAAATGTTCAGCCTGGGCTCATCAAAGAGCGACACTAGGGCCAGGAGGGAGGCTCTGGAGAGCCGATCAGGCACAACTATGCTGAAGAGTCTGCCGTCAACCTGTCGGAGGTCGGCTAAGACATGGCACAGAGTCGTAGCCCATTCCGGCAAGGACAGGATGCACGCGAAGCGGTTGTCCGGTTGCGGTTCGACCGGAAGGAGGGTATCGAAGTAAAGGGACTGGTCCTCATTCCGTGCCTCCTGGACTTCATTGAGCGCGTCATCTTGCTCGCAAGGCACCCGCAAGACTAGAGGGAGAACCTCGGCCCTGTACCTAGGCGCAAAGACAAGGAAATGACCGTGCAGGAAAGTTGGAGGCGGCACTCCTTGTGGCCTGTCCCGTGTGAAAGTGGCCGGTGTCGGCACATGTGCTTCATCATCATACCGGGCTGGTGGGTGCACATCCCGATGTGCATCTACCGTTCGCTGCCATGGGACTCCTTGGTGTCCACCCGGAGCCTGGTAGGGGTTACGCATGCTGCGAGCGGCGTGGCTGTCCGCTGAGTCAAATGCAGACCCCTCATGGATACCCTCGGGTTCTTGCGGGGAGTCAGGCATGTCTTGTGGTGCAAAGTCAACATGCAGGACTCCGCCATGATGCACTACAAAGGAGTTCCCTATCTTAGGGAGACCCCAAAGGACAGGCCAAAACCCAAAGGGAGGGTGAAGGTCAAGGAAACTAACGATGTCCTGTTCCCCAACTGCAGGAGCACTGGAGAAGTACAGTGTTGGTTCCTGGCCGACGGGCCGTCGGTCGATTATGACAAGAGCTCCCGGTAGCTCAGCATGGTCCGTCTCGACAGTGCTTCGTCGGGCAGCGACGAGTCCAGCAAGGAGGGAACCTCGGTAGACATAGGCTGAGATGCCTTGTCTGTCGGGACGGCACAGCCTAAGTGCTTCGGGTCTGCAGTGAAGTGCCGAGGCAACATGGGCCTCCAAGCTTTCGTCGTAGGCACCTTGGTGAAAGATGGGCCTGGGGACCTGGGGCGCGACAACGAGCCATTGATCGGAAACATCTTCGCTGACGATGCAACGGATGTCGGCCGTCAGGAAATCACGGTCTCTCAGACTCGCAGTGGAGGTGGGTTGCCAATGTGGCTGCCCATACACATCAACGAATTTCAGGGTATCCCCAGTCGTGAGGTGAATGGGTCTCGTGGAGCAGAGTGGTGCGGTACAGCCAGTTTGGAAGGCATCCCAGGGCTGGCAGGTATGTCTCTCTGCATGATCGACGATTTCCGAAAAAGGAGGCCTCCGGTCAAGCATGGCCGCATAGACCGGGCCACTAACCGCAGAAAAATCGAAAATCACTGTGGCGATTCCAGAATGCGCCGTCCATTGGGGCACCATCAATAGGGATATGTATCCCTCCTCAAGCTGTGGCTCTACGAAGTCAACGTCGGCTGCAAAGTAGGCTCTACTAGGCCCAAGTTTAGCAACAACTGATTGGAGCAGAGCAGCGGCTTGAACAGGGAAGTCGGCCTTGACCTGAGCAGATTGTGTGGGAAAGCCCGGGGCAAAAAGCACACATTGTATCTGAAGCTCGTCGGCGGGGTGGCTGACTATCCCTGGCAGTGATCCAAGGTCATGTTCATATCTGTCTCTCACTGGTGGAGTATGAGGACTGTCTTCACCGAAGCCTGGACAGTCTGTAGCAACTGCAGCTGCTGTAACGGCTTGTGCTGTGTCGCTGTCACCTGGCATTGACCAGACACACTGGGGTAGGGACAGCATGGACATCAGGAATAGAAGGATGCGGCCAAACTTACTCTGTACTCCGGAGTATGTCCTTTTCCGACCGGAAGCACGCCATTTCAGAACAGTAGCCTTTGGCACGGCAACCTCGACAAAGGGACGGCATATGTCAGGTCCCATGGGGGGGCAGGTGGCAAGCAGGAGTTTGCCAATGGAGGTTCTGTGCAATCTGGTGGCACGACCCGCAAGGCGGGTCGAAACTGTGAGGAAGAGAAGGCCAAAGAGTGCCCAGGCAGATTGCAGTTGGTGCTCGCACCATTCGCACCAAGAGTCAAGGCGCCAAAATGTCGACCTGAACTGGTCATTGCGGTACCCCGAGGTGGACAAAATCGTAGGTCTGTCGTCAGAGACCTGGCTGGGTCTGCAGCCAAAACCGGCGCATTCGTACCCAGCCTCATCGAAACCACAACAGCCCTGGGGACTAAACCCTACAAGGGAGAGGTGGTGTGAGGGAGCACAGGCCGAGGCCCCAGAGCCACCGATGCCTCTGTTCGGCGCGCTGTGCTGATTCCTCCAGGGGATGGAACACCGTGGCTGAGGTGTTGCTGGCAGAGGGGTCGTCACACACACACAAACCCAGTGTGGTGTGGCAACCCGCGAGGAAGAAGGAGGGCACCGGTATACCTCTGCCCAAGACAAGAGCATGATATACCCGGGCCTCATCGACAGAAAGTGGGTATTGATGCGACTGAAGGGAAGCTCAGGGAAACAGCCCATTGACGAGCCCAAGACCAGGAGGGGCCTAAGGCTGACAGAAGAAGAGGATTCGCAAGGAGGCTTCGGGCTGGCGGCGAAACAGAGGTGAGACCGCAGACCTCCTCGGACTTCACTCGCAAAGGTTCCAATGTGAGGGCATTGACCGACGAAAGTGCAGGCAGGTGGAGATTTCGCCCAAGAAATCTCGCACCGCTCTTGCTTCACCAGTCTGCCAACACAGCGGCCCCGATGCGATTGATTCCGGGAAGTCTGCCTACTGCAGGTCATTCTAGATTGCCAAACCCTGGTGAAGGAACGCCTTCTGCTTGGTGGAGCTCCTCGTTGTCGTCGACATAGAGGGTGTCGGAAGGCTTTCCTGAGTCGCCTTGTGTCTCCCTGGGATGATTCCCGCCTGGGACAACACCAAAGGGGTGCATGGCCGTTCCCCGTTCCTTTTCCCTGCGTTCTTCCAACTTGTCGCTCAGACTTTTGGAGCTGGCATGTCCATGCTGTGGGGATGCTTTGGTCGCTGTTTTGACATCTTGGCGCGGAGGGACTTCTGAGGCCGGAACCCTTGGCTGGTTGAGGTCTCGCTGTCCAGGGTGCATCGGTGAAGCACCAGAGCCCTTTGTTGCACCAAAGTCCTTGGCAGCACTGGTGGGCGCAGTTGCTTCCATCTGGGGCTCTGGGGGAGGTGTCACCACAGGGCCCGTTGGAGTTCCAAAACCTGGTGGCCCGGCTGCTCCTGGGATCATACCCGTTGTCGCCTGAGCAAAGGCAGCCCGGGCTGCCTGCATATGCATAAAGGAGGCCGCATCTGCATGTCCTAGTAGTTGTTGGAGAAGTTCGGGTCGCAGCTGCTTGAGAGCACTCTCTGCTTCCAGAAGGGGGTCTCGTGGTACTGGACGCTGGCTGGGGGATCGCGGCTCCCGGGTGGACGACTCCATAGAACGTTGGATGACTCCATCGAAGTCGATCTCCATCGGCTTCTGCCAGTCCTCCTGCAACTGGCTCCATCCATGCGTGGCCTCTGTCGTTGCCGTATCCACCGTGCTCGGAGGTTCCTCCGTCTCTCCCAAGATAACACCTTTGACTGCAGCTCGAGCCGCCTCCTGTTGCCTGGTCGCTTCCAGGAGCTCTTCCTGGTACCAGGCCAGGTCCTTTTGGTGCCGGACATATTGGTGGATGTAGTTGTTCTTCATGTCCTCCATGAACTGGTCCCATTGTTGGATGTTCATTTCCTGGTCGGCAGTGATTTTGCGGACTCTGTTCTCCGCCTTCTTTGCCGCTGTCACCGCTCTCTGGAGTGCCTGCATGGATCCAGGTTGGCGCTGTGCAGGGATGGAACTTGTCGCTGGAGGTGCCTTGGGAGTCACATGAGTGTAGCTGGGGAAAGTCGGCGTATACTTTCCATCCTGCTTCGCCTGCCTCCACGGAGCTCGCGGAGAGTATGCTCCCCGCCACAAGGAATAGGAGCCATTTCCAGAATCCTTGTTCCATCCTTGCTGGTCGGCGGCTTTGTCTCCTTTGTGGCCTTTCCATGTCTTTCCCATACCCACACCGGCAGGGCCTGTGTGGTGGAAGAAGAGCAGAGCGAGGTCCCGCGGGAAAGGAGCAGCTCCAGCTGCTTTCGCTGCACGCACACGTGCTCTCGCCCGAGACCGTCGTTGTCTCAGGCGGCGGTGCCAGTTTGGTGATGGCTGCGCCGTCGAGTCGTGCCTCCTTGGGCACTGGGGCTACAGTAGATCCAGCCGCTGCTGGCGATCTGAGCCCTTATACATATATATGTATATATATATATACACATACATACATACATACCTATACAATATTTACATATATACATATGTATATGCGTGTGTATACATGTGTACATGTCTTTATGTGTTTATTCAGTCGTTGCTGTGCTATTATCGCCACGGCCTCACGTTGGGATATTCCGGATACTTGACGTCGTCAGTCTTGTCCAACTTGATCTCACCATGTCAGTTGCTACCGATCCCAGCCTGCAGGTCACTTGAAGATAGCCTGCTAAGAATAAAAAAACACAAGAATGACCTCAGCTCCAAGCTGCGATGACCAAAAGCAAGCACACCATCGCGAATCAACTCGACTCAAGAAACTGCACCCAAATCTGCTCTGCTTTACCCTCTATCACACACCTAAATCTGCTTCCGGAGGTCCCTCAGAACTTCTGCAACTTCGTCGATGCGCCTCGGATGGACACCCAAATCATGCATAGACACATAGACATTACACTGCGTCGGATTCGGCCCGAGATCAGTTTTCATCAGAGTCAAATGCAACTTCAATGGTTCAAGGTGCTGCAGTCTTCAGGACCGCATATTGTCGCGGCGACTAGCCGCTAGCCAGAAGTTATGTTTTCTCGGGAAAATCTTCGGCGTGTTTGCTGCATGTCCGCCTCACTGACGCTAACCACTTCAAGTTCCAGCTTGCATGTCAGAGCTTGAAGCCTCAACACCTCTTAACTTTCCATTCGCGGCATATCCTTGAATTCGATTGTGATGGGGGCATGCGGATTTGATCTAAGATTTCACGACTCTTTGCCAAGTCGCTTGTGCGGGGCGTGGTCGGTAAACACAGCCAGCGCATCAGTGTACCTCGCACACCCCGCCCCCCCCCCCATCAACAGAAAAATGGGCAACCTATCCTCAAGCTGTGCGGCTCAGTCCTGCTTTTGAGACTGTCGAGACATGCTGTTGGGTTTGAAGATTTTGTGCGCTTCGAGACCCCTGACTGGATACTTAACGGATTCAGGGTGATTCAGAAAGCACCGACTTGGGAGTTTCCGAAAATTAAGGGTACCTTATTTTGGGGTCCTTCTAATAAGGGTCATACTGTTGCGGGTACTATACTAGGGTACCTGTTTCTGAAAGCAGCGACTTGGGCACGGCTTTGGTACACCGCGCTCCCCCGTTCCACCCCGAATGGAGGCGATGAACTGCGCTGCCTCCGCGGGAAAATTGTTCACAAGTATCGATTCAGGATCTGTCGGGTTTAGGGATGTAGGGTGTTTAGGGTTTAGGGAAAATTGTGCACGAATCGATACTTATTCGACGTCAAGTCTTGCTTTTTGAGGCGGTTTTGGGTTTTTAAGGTATGAAGAGTGCAGCTGAAGACTTGGGAATCGAGGATTTAGCCCGAGAACGGGCACATTGATTTTCACCACGTCACCCATGACACCTGGAGAGCCCCAGAGGCGGCATCAGCAAGTTGCATGGACTCATCTGCAGGATTGCATGATTGCACGTCCGAGCTTTAGCAAGGGCCCCTGCAGTCCGTTCGGCTGTGACGTAAGAGACACATGGACCTTTCGAGGTGTGAACTGATGTTTCCTTGCAACCAACCGTGCCTTGACGTACAGCCCGCGATGTTGGTTGGCTACCTGGCAAGCTGAGTTGGAAAGCTTACATCCACTGGGGATGCACTCCCGCAGCCTACACCCCAAGTGGAAACACCGCAGAATTCACCCCAACAGTTGGACCCACTGCAACTCCTACGAAACCCGAATCCTGGAACTGCCTGCCTTCACACAGCGCTCTGCGCCCCGTTTGTGGCACTCCTGCACAGGCAAACGGCAACGGAACTCCCGGAAAAGTACCCACTTGTGTGATCTAGACTCTGGCAGGATCTAAGATCGACCGATCTATGTATGCTAGCCCTTGTAGTCATACAATTGAGGCAGAAGTCCAGCAAGTAAGGTGATCAAACTCGACGAAGCCCTTGTAGTCTTGCTCCTTCATTTCACTCCCTCTCAGTTCCTGGTCCGTTCCAACTCTGGCTTTGACATGTGTTGTCGGATGAGACGATAGTCTTGATGCAACTAGAGACTAGTGTTTTGATTGAGAGCCCGGAACTGAAGTAGCCGTTTGGGAATTCAGAATATCAGGGCAGCGGTCGTTATACTCAGGATCCCATTTTTGAGGACAGATAGCCACGCAGAACCGATGCAACACAAACTGCTTTTCCTGTCCAGAACCTGAGTCCAAAGCGAGAAACACAGAACACAATAGCTTGCCCCCGACATCCAAAAAAAAGGAAGCACTCAAACCCCTAAACGAAACCAGAGCGACCACCGGCAAAAGGCAGCCCGCCTGCAGCGCAGCATTGTACCTGAAGCCGTGGCTCTCGGGTGCCGGAAGGGCTTGGTGCTTTTAGATCTTGGTATGAAAGTCGCGCAAAATCCCTTATGGAGCCCGAAATCTGCAATGGTTTGCAGAAAGCTCGCCCTATTTCGGGAGCACTCAGGCGTGTCCTCCTCCATGTTGGAGAGGCTGCTGACGTAGTCCTGCTGGCTCCGATGCACTGCTCCCATGACGGAACCCGACAGCCGGCCCCGGCTTCGTCAGGTTCGGGGGGCGGGGTAAGCTTTGTAAGCTTTTGGGCATTGGGTGTAACGTCCACGTTCAGAGTGGGGCTTATGGCTTGCAGACGGTGCCTGCCTGCTTCTGCTCGTTGAATTGCATCATCGTCACCTCGTGTGCAGCCCTTCTGCAAGAACCAGGTTCGAACCACACCAGGAGGCAAAACAGACATGGTAACCAGATACCTTGTCCAGCAAAGAAGAACTGACTGAGCGAATATGCACATAGAGACGGAAAGCAGAAAGGAGCGGCCACCCTGCATGCTCTACATGCCAAGTAGTCTGAGGACAGCGCCATGCTTCGGGACATGCCCATCATCATGTCCTGCGGCTGCTCCGCGGGCATTGGGCGCAACACCACATCCCAAGCCCGAAACTCGGACCCAGAGAACCTGCGATGAACACATCCCCGTACAGTCCTGAAACAACTATAGACTCCAATGATCTACAATCTACTCCCGTTGAGCCCCCCTCGGTTGGAGCTCCGGAGCAGGCATCACGGCTTCGTCGGTGCTTCCCACGCGACGGCGCTTGGCCTCCTCGGTCGGAGGGACAGTGCAAGGCAAGAGCAGATGTCGTGCTGTTGCTGCGATCGCGCGCTGCCGTCGAAGCCGCAGGTTGCTGCTCTTGTGCTGTTGCTGCTGTTGCTGCCGGTGTTCGTGATGCTATTGCGGAGTGAAACGATGACAACGACCACAACAACAGCGGGGGCTGTGGTAGCGGTCGATGGTGATCATACATGATGATTTTTGTGGTCTTGGCGATGAAAGTGCTGTTGGTGGTGGTGGTGCTGGTGGTGCTGGTGGTGCCGGTGGTGCTGGTGGTGCTGTGGTGCTGGTGGTGCTGGTGGTGCTGGTGGTGCTGGTGGTGATGGTGATGCTGGTGGTGAGGTGATGACGACTGCCCCCAAAATCATGTCAAGTAACCAAAAATGAGTAAGCAGAGAGGCAGAAGGGAATTGCAAGACTGGACAAGCACCAGAACGCCAAGCATTGCACGAGCAGCCACGAGCAAGCATGGACAAGCACACAATGCTCACGCAGAAACGCAAAAGCAGGAGTGTACGAACACCAGAATGCATAGTTTCACCAGAAAGCATAGTTTAAAGGCCGCATGTTCATGCTAATCCTACTGTCTTGCTTGCGCAACCTGAACTTCCACCGTCTGCCGAGCGCCCGGCTGCACTCTCCATGATGGAAAACAGACGGCACGACGACAAGTCCGTAGCCGGCCCCCCTCCGCCCTCAACTCGAAAGGCGAGGCCGGAAACAAGCGCTTTGTGAAACAGCTGACTTCTGATACTCTAAGAAGAAACCTTACGAGGGGGACCAGCTTCTCAACTTTGTTCTGCTTCGGCCCTGGCCCCTTCATGTTGGGCCTTCGAAAGCATGTATCTCATGGGGGTTGCCATGTGCCAGGGAAGGTTGGGAGGCTTCGGTGCTTCGGCCCACCCCCAAAACCCCTGCTTGAGCCATGAAGCCCCGGATCGGTGCGACATCGGTTTTGGACCACGACCGCAATGCCGACGGCCTCGGCTTTGGGGCTTGAGGGTCTCGATGCATGGAGACCGAGACAGGCAAGACTGCAGGGCCTTCAAGTTCACCTGCAAACTAGACTGGGGTCCCAAAGCCCACCTTGCTGTTGATCTTCTTGGCGCAACAGCTGACTTTTAAGGTAAGTAAGCCAGTTTAAGCTCAGTTGCAGAATGGCTCTGGAATCCGCATGTAAGACCATCGGCCCGAGTCTTTTTCCGCTCAGTCGAAGCACCTGCTCCGGGCTGCTGCTATCAGAACCCATGAGGCTTGGGGCCTCCAACCTGGAATCTCGGGTGTCGGCGCCTTTACTTGGGTAGGGTCGGAGTCGATCTTCATACACTCCCGGATTTGGCAGAACATCGCGACATTTCGCAGGCCCTTTAATTTTTTGTTTTCTCCTGCATCTTACAAGCCTCGCACTCGGGATCCCGTCAAGATTTGGGGACTTTCTCTTTGTCACTTTTCAACCTTTCCAGCTCACAGCCGGCTTCCCTGGATCTTTGCTTGATCAGCTGCTGGTCTTCGCCAACAGCTCGCTACCATGAAAGTATAAAAACTTTTACCAAAGTCAACTTCTAATCCCTTGTCAACAAACGGGCGGTCCACACTATTTTCCCGCTGTGCCTGAGCCGTCGTTTGACCTACGGAGACACGCAGTGAAACTAGCTAAATTGGGCGCACACAGGAAATTGAAATGTCTGTTACTTTCGGAACTCTCTCCCGAGTTGGTTGATCAGCTTCTTGAACACTTTGTTGACCCTGTGCATGGAAGTCCCAGAAAAGGCCGGAAGACAGTTGGAGTGATGAGTCTTCATGTTGATGATCTCATCATAAGTGGGACCCCTGAGTTCCTCACTTGGTTCCTTAAGAAGACGAAGATAAAGGAACACTTCACTGTCGGTCATGAGGACAAGAACGACCTTACGTTCACCGGACAGCGTGTTCGTTGGGTTCTTGATGCACAATGGAAGAAGAAGTACATATCGATCGATCAAAAGCTGTGTGTTTCCGAGCTTGAGGAGATCGTCATACCGAGGCATCTTAAGGATGCCGAGGCGTGTGACAAAGCTCTCCATACCTCTTATCGCTCTTTGCTTGGTAGCATCAACTGGCTTCAGTCGAGGACGCAATTTCAGGCATGCTATCAGTTCTCTCGCTTGGCTTCAGCATCTGCTGCTCCGACCGTCGGTCACTGCAAGGAGTTGAACAAGTTGTGTCGACAAATACGCAGTGAAGAGGTTGAGTTGCGGGTGTGGCCAGTGAAGGGATCACCGAGGATTCTTGGAATTCCTGACGCAGCTTTTCGGAACAACAGCGACAAGTCCTCACAGAGGGCGATGACTATTTTCATCGCAGATGAAAGGGTCAAGAATCGAAGGGACACCCGAGGCTCATTGGTCTTCTTCGAATCAACCAAAATTATGAGAACGACCCTTAGCACTACTGTCGCTGAGCTTTATGCTTCGATGAAGTGTTTTGGTACCTGTCAGATGCTTCGTGGTTTGTGGAAGGATATTAGTGGTCTTGATGCTGAGATTCACATGCGAGCCGATGCTGACAATCTCGTGACTCGTGTCTACCGCTTCTACTACTCACTCACCCGAGCAACAGGAAACCATTCACATGATTCAAAAGCTGAGAAAGGAAGCTTGTTCAGGGGCGATTGCTGATCTTTCTCAAGTTCGAACCGAACATTGTCTTTCTGACTGTCTCACGAAACGAAGCGCTCATCCTAGAAACCTCCTGAACTCTGTTCAAACTGGGTGGTTGAAGGAAATCGATTCACATCCTCCTTTTCGTTCTATGATTGAGCACAAAGCCTTTTTGAACGCCTGGCTCCGTAAGGAGTATGCGGTTTTGAGTTCTGCGCAACATGTCATGTTCCTGCAGGAGCGTTTGTGAGTCGGGTCTGCTTCATGAGTGAGCTGTCAGAGCAATTCAGTGCATGTGGTTCATGAAGAGTTGTTGGTGTCTTTTTAAATTTGTGCCTGCATTGCTCAAATCAGCTGGTTCAACATTTTAGTGAGAAAGTAGCCCACAACTTCCACTTCTGTTACCAGCATGGCTGCGGCAGGACCCTCGATGGATGCTGGACGCTCCTCTTAGGAGGAGGCACTAGCGCAGGTCTACTGGACACCGAACAACGGATGCAACTTCAAGGTTGACGTTCGCACGGGTGTCCCGGACTTTGCCATGTATCTGAAGAGCGCGTCCTGGGTGCCGCGTCGTGTACTCCGAACAGTTGGAGATGACGGCGTGGCTACCTGGCTACCTACCCCAAAGATCGTCCCGGAGCCTGTTTCCCGTTTCTACGGACAGCAGGACACCACGGCGTACTTCCCTCGGGGGGAGATGGCCACGGTGGACATTCTGGAAGGACAGTTGGCATTTTTGTCACATGTCCGGCGCTATGAGGAGAGCCACCCTGGAACCCATGTACTGCAGCACGCAGCGGCTCTTCAGAAGCTTATGGCTTATTCGTGAAAATGAGCTTAAGGAAGAGCGGGAGCGGCAAGCCACCACCTCCGAAGGAGCCACCAAGTATGCGTACCAGGCTGGGGACACCGTCCACGGCAAGATCGACGCGCATAAGGCCCAGCAGCAGGAGGAGCTCAACGAGGTTCTCCGCAAAGCAAGGACCAATCCATGGCATCTTTTTGTACATGGTCTCTTGCACATGGTTGACGCTTCTGGTCAGAGGATGCTCAGCTCCTATGGCAATGCCCTCGTGCAGGTCACCCCCTGGCATACAATGACTACCTCTATGAGGGATTCACTGGGAGGTGAATATACCTGGGCATCCTGGCTACAGCATCCCCTGTCGGGGTATTCGTTGCATTTGAAAGCCTTTGAAACGGGGAAGTTGCAAGGAAATTACCTCGTCGAGATGCAGAAGAAACCGAAGGTTTACTCCAACGGTTACACTTCCCCATGGATGAACATGAAGTGTCATCCCGGAGGACTTGCTGAGATGTTGGAGACCGTCACCATTGCGGCGCAGAACCCGTGACGACGATCCTCGCTCAAAGATGCCCAAGACGGAGGATCCTGATTACTCTCGCAAGCTCGAGGCACACAATGCTTTCCTCAGGGAAAGGGATGTGTATGCCGAGATCGGTTTCGTGCGAGAGGATTTTCAGATGCTTGTCGGCGTCATCAATGAGGCCTATGGTGTAGACTTCTTCTCCTACATCCAGCGCCATGCAAACAACGTGGAGATTCGCCACAAATACCTGGTGAAAACTCCTGAGGGTTACGGTCTGTTTGACTCCACCCTCAAACAACCCTTCAATGGTCGCTATGTGCTGGCAGCTTTGGATAGGGTGTTCTCTACAGCCGAAAACAAGGACTTTAAGTCAGCCTTATAACCAATGTGACTTCATGTATCATGCGGGCCTTTCTTTAAGTCCACTCAAA